GACATAGGACTCTTCCAAAGTAACGCCATACCAGACCTGATTTTCGGCTCACGTTGCGAATATGGCGACTTCATCGAAGTCTTAGAGGGTAAGACTTCTATGGGTGACTCCTATTATGCTACAGTTGCTTCTAAGTGGTCTCCACTCCACAGAACATCTTATGTTTATCAGTTTTACGGTAGACGTTACCGACCCATTGCCTCTTCAGCTCGTCAATCCTTATTATATGTGGTGGAATTTTGAGCAACATATACTGGACGCTGATTCCATAACGCCATAAGCTGATTCCAACGGCAAGTACGAGTACCAATGTGACTTTTTCCGAGTTATATTTACTTTCTAAGATTATCTAGACACCTCTGACAAACGGTGAAAGAAAACATCGTGAGGAAACCTGGGCTTATAATTTCTAATTATAAGTCTGAAATCGCCAACCCGCATTGAGTAACCGTGGTGACTAATGCTCAAACCTTCTCCGTGTGAGAAGAGGCCTTTGGTCAGCATTTATAGGCTGTTGATGATTATGATGATCATGATTCCATAAACTGACTTATCAAATCAAGTATTTTTTTGAAAAAATACACGTGTTGTTATTTCTACTACTGGAACTATTTTAAGGAACTTCTCAGTACGGTGTCAGTACTCTCTTAGTTGGCCTTTTTCCAACTAGGTTGGGATTGTCGCTGTATTTACCGGTTTTGGCAAAATGACAGTATTTTACATTCAGGGATCACCTGACTGTTGTTGTCTAAGATTTATGTACGTAATGTATTGTACATATTTCAGATAAGTTTGATTGATCCTGAGCTACTACCAAACGGTTGTGGTGTACTTAGCTAGGTATCCTATTTACTAAAATCGGCTACAACGCAATACTATTTGGTCTGGCCTTGGAAATGAATAGTCCCGAAGCTGATGACGTTAGTTAATTTTATTAACTTTCTATTAAACAATAATTTAATTTGAGTCCTTCAAAACATGTTTTCCTTGTTTGGGAATTCTGTGCACGATGGCACAACCTAAGTACTTTTGTGTACATTTAGGAATGTTAATGGCTAACCATTGGTTCACGTCGGTCGTGGCCACACGCTACAATTGCAAACACCACTCCCTGTTGCATCATGCTATATGATCATGCCGAAGTATTATGCCATAAAGTCATAAACCATAAATGAATTACAACACATCTTAATAAGTCACATTAGATCTGGTATATTACAAATACAACGTAGATATATGGTCAATATCATCATTCATTCATTAGATATTTTATTGAAAATGGAGAGCTACTTTGGCTATGTCCTTAGTTATTTACACATTATCCTAGAATTTCATTTCTAAGATACATTTTCTGATTTTAAACAGTTTTATTTAGCTTGCCTCCTTTTTTTGTTTGTTTGGGTCAAAAGTAATTGGAATTTCACCCCATTCCTGACGACATTCGGATCTGATTTTTGGTACACAAACTTAATCTGGATGACCATACAATATTATATCTCGACAACTCCCTACATTATGGATATCGAACGAAAGGCCTTGTTTGGAAGAATAGAGTTCATTAATACTGATTAACATAAAAAGCTATTTGTTAACTGAAATTTAACTACAACTAAACTATTGAATAAAAAGAAAGTAAAAAAAAGAAAAGAACAAAAATTGTACTCTTAATTAAGTCGTCAAAGTTCTCGTCCGCATCACTATCACCGGGGAAAGTTCCCAGAGGACTGGTAGCATTGCCACGTTGAATGACAATGCTTATTTTCTGTCCGAAGAAATAGCCAACCCTCTGGTCACGTGTAGAGTCGATTAACCTACGGGTTATATCTTTATAGACAGAGTGTGCACTGGGACCCCATGGCCCAAGTGTTTCGATCGCAAACGGTTTAAAACAGTAGGTGCCCTTAGGAAACTGGACACTGAACATGTTTACATTAACAATACAACTAACAACTAACTTATGACGAAGTACATACATGCACATACATGTAATATATACCTTCAGGGCACATTACGCAACATTACACACGTAAAACCATTTCATATTCTCAAATTCTAAAACAATACAGAACGTCATAATCCTTGAAACATGCGTCAAGCAAATTATGTATGTAATGGACAATTTGTCACAGTATCCGCATCAAAACTAACGCTATAGGTACTAAAGTTAAAGCAATACACTTTTATAACAGTTTAATTAAATATTACTTCTTTACAAGTAAGTATTTTTGAAAGCCATACATCTGTTCCCATCCGTAAGCTTCCCGTAAGAACTGATTTCGGGACTCACATTGGATGATTGGACAAAGACCGGGTAACAACGTTCTCTGACAAACCTGAACTTGGATACTGCGATCTCTCACGTGTGGAGGTTATGGTAAATCGTCTTATCTTGACCCAACAGGGGGACTGTCAGTCCATGTTGTGTGTTTCTTTAACATAACATCACGCCATTTATTCCCGGAGGGTTAGGCAGAGGTGCACATTATACCACTGTACAATGTAACACCCACTTTTCACTATTTATGTTAATAAGTCCCATGTAATAGGGGGTGAGCCTATGGCCATATACCGGGCACAATTCCAGACTCCGTGCTACTAGGTACTGCGATTGTTTGTTTAAAAACCCAGTAATACTTTGCCCGACCCGGGAATCGAACCCGAGACCCCTTGCCCGGCGGCAGTCGCAATTGCGACCACTCGGCCAACGAGGCAGGCTGCTGTTGTGTGTGTTTCTTTCTTTTTTTAAAATGCGCTTAGGTACTATACCCCAGCCAACTCGATAATTGAACTTGAGATCCCTTGCGCGGCAGTACTCAAGGAGGTTAACATTACTAAAACAGACAGCTACCAAAAAAAACAATATTCATAACTATAAACTAATTAAAATGAACTCATGAGTTAGAGACCTTAATTTTTATTTAGTTTTATTTAACTCTGTTTGTCGGGTACACGACACGGTAAGAACATTTTACCAGTATACCTATTTTGATGTTGCCGAAAACCTAACGGGTTACCGGGGCTCCGGCTCGACGTGCAGGAGAAGGAACGGGGTGGTTTTTAGTCAGTAAGAGTCTGACACTCCCTCCCGCCTCACCCAGGCGTGAGCAGTTATTCGATGATTTTCCACCCTTAAAAAAATACCTATTTTGATGAGGGAATTCATCAAATAGCTTCTTAATCCCTTCCTGGATGAGGTGAGAGGCAGTATCAGTCTCTTACTGTCTAAAAACCACCCCGTTCTTACTTCTACTACTGACGGAGCCTCGGTAACCCCCAAGGTCATTGCCCATATACGTGGGGTACAGACGCGGAGCGACTATAACCTACGCAACAATCGCTTGTAACTTAGTACATTTGTAATTATAATCAATCGTACTGGATTCGGTCAATTTCTAAGATGATAACATGAATTTGTTACAGTAGAGTGGGGGAGAAGTGATGCATTGGTTAAAATCAAATGAACTAGTACTAAGCGGCTTTAGTTTATTTTAGAAGTCTAAATATTTACGTCTGTTACTCCGTTCGAAATTAAGCATTGGTTAGTCCTAGAATAAATCGGAAAAAATATAACTAATATATTAATAATACATAATTATGCTTTGCATTTTATTAGCCTTTTTTTTAAGGGGGGAGAGTCATCGAATGACTGCTCCCGCCTTTAGTGTCAGACTCTTATGGAATAAAAACCACCCCATTCTTTCTCCTGCACGTCGAACCGGAGCCCCGGTAACGCATTAGGTTCCCCGCGACTTATTACATAGCATAAGACTGACTACAAGACTGCCTCGTTGGCCGAGTGGTCGCAAGTGCGACTGCCGGTAAGTGGTCTCTGGTTCGATTCCCGGGTCGGCCAAAGTATTACTGGGTTTTTAAAAAATCTCAGTAGTAGCACGGAGTCTGGAAATGTGCCCGAGCCCGATATATGGCAATAGGCTCACCCCCTATTACATAGGACTCATAACATAAATAGTGAAAAGTGGGTGTTAGTTCTGTGTGCACCTCTGTATACTCCTTCGGGGATAAAAGGCGTGATGTTAAGTTACATAGCATAAAATGGGAAAAAGCTGACCTTGTTATCTTTCAACATTTGTCAGATGATGACCATCAACGCTCCCGTTTTAAAACAAGGAGGATTGTCGCCAATACCTCACAGTGTCCCATTTAGGCTGATGCAACATTAGTCGCGGATTTCAAGGCCCCTTTCACGGCATTCAAAGCAGTTCGTGCATTTAGATTTATTTTACACTGCACTAAAACAATGCCGATAGCGCAGGCTGTAAACCTATACATTCTAATGCTAACTTTTTTAATGTTAGTTCGATTTAGCGCTTATTCTTTATTATTTTTGTGTAAAACTATTTTATGAGTAGGTTTTATGAGATAAAAACTTTTTTTAAGTCGAGAACCAAGGCCATCCTAATTAAAGTAAATGATCAATGATAACTATCCTTGAGCAGTTAGTTATTTTAATTGTAACGGGTCTTTGAATAGAGCTGCGGGATTTTTTGTTCCGACGACGCGACGTTAAAAATGTACCAGCAAAATTAGCACTCGTGAATCATAAGCCAAAACTGAATGGTTCCTATAACAACGAGGCGTCAACAAACAAAACGCTCTCTAATAAAAACTGTGCTATAGTTACATCATTGACGTTAAGACCAACAACCATTTGACGTGGGTATAGTAAAGCACCTTCTTTTAGCAATACGTCACGCTGTAACTGTAAACATAGAAACTACAACATTTCTACGTAAATGTTGAATACGCGTGTGATACGCAAACGAATTAAAAGATGATAGTGTTAGAGGGCGCCACGCGACAAGCCGAGGCGCCGGCTCCCGGCCGGGTTGGCGCGCCTGGTCCGCCGTGGGCGCCGCGGCTCACATTATTCGAGCAAGAAGACCCGACGTTCCCCAGTGCGCTATGACGCAACAATCGGTCTCGCTTGCCTGTGCGGTGCGCCATGCGTACGTTTGGTCTGGCATCGTTCTTCGGTTCATTCTGATTTTAACTCGCGAGTCGGTCGGTCGCGTTCCGCTCGCTAAATATAAGCACGTGGCCCAGTGCTTCAGATATTCCGCTATAACCTATAACCCGTTGCTCGGCTGCCGGCGCAAGCTGATATACAGAGGTAAGTGTCGACTACTTTACACCTAGTATTAATCAGTAAGCTGTAACGCGATGCTTTGGTATATAAACTCATTTTTTTATTTACTTAGGATTGTATAGTAGTAAAATATAGTTACTAGAGCTTTTCTATCGTCACATATGTTGCAGTAATTTACTAGTAGATTACTCCAACATTTTTAATTTATGTAGGAACTTGTTCTCATAAATAATTAAAAAATAATTTACGGACTGGTTTCACTAAACGCTTAGATTTAGTAATGTTAACTGAAAAAAGTATCAACAAATATTGCGATATTTCACTCGTAAAAATGTAAATAAATGGATACGTCAAAAACGTTGTGTTCACAACGTTATCTGTACTAAATTCTTATCTGCTAAATCATTCTATCAATATTCGGGACAGTGTTTTACAAAAGGCGGGAACGTGGATTGTTGATAGGGTAGAATTTCATTGACGCTAACTTGACATTCAAAGTGTGGAAGTGCAGACAACCGGTTGACAACGTGTGGAGCCCCGACCGGCGCGCGCGCAGCCACATCTGTCTGCAGTTCCGCGGCCGCACCGACGTACGCTGCCGCTACATAAATATAATGTGCACGTTTACGAGCTTACTTGCAGCTGCCTGCTCCTTGACATTAAATACTATAAAGCTATTTATTTTACATAACTCTATTCGCCTCCTAGGCAAATCTAAAGACAAAATTTTAAACTATAAATTGTCATTTTCTTCATTCGATACACTGCAGCTACAATACAATTTGAGAGTTTTTATGTGCAAAAGAGTAGATATTCTGAATCGCCGCATGGTATTTGCATTTGCTTAACAATACCATGTTGAGTAAAGACGTCAGCAGTCGTAATAATTAAAATGTCATTTAATATCGCGTAACAGTCGAAACCAGTCATTTACACAGCTGTTCACATCAACTTACTAATCTACTTTTAAAACACCGCAACCTTTGTCTCATTGATTTACTTACTTTCCATATTTTTACTTGTAAATTTTGACTAATCGGAGGCTAAGTTTACCTAGAAATTAATTGTTTGGTTCATCTCGCTAGCTACAAACATTAATGAGCGGCTTGTCCTAATTACTGTAATTGAACTACGCTTAATGATTGATTACTATAATTCTATAAATCACTCCATGAACAATGGCGACTGTTGTTTTTGTTTCTGTAATAAAATAGCCACGTACGCGTGAAATATTTATCGGTGAACGACGACGCTGCAATATTTACTTTGTACATAGACCACTAGTTACTCGTAGTCGTAACAGTTTAAACGCACGCCGCGTCATACTTTGACAAATGTGAACGTACAGGCCAGCAGATACACCTACACCTATCTGTTCATTTATTAGCAGACTTCATTGTTTTCAAAGTCACAAATCTATCAATATAAGACAGATTTGTGTATGATGACGTGATGTCTGTACCTAGTACGTAGTTTTGCGCTTATGTACATTCCTAGTACAGGCTAAAAGCCGAGGTCATTGCTTCTTGGCACAATACCTACTCGGTCAGTGATTACCTGTCATGGCGTATATACTTTCATTTCTCTACATTTCAGCCGAGCTAACAAACCAGATTGAACCGGATAGAAGTGGTTATCAAAAATAAACTATTGTATATAGGTGTAACGGTGTTACTCATACACTATGTTAAGTTTTTATACAAGCAATTAATTCATGCTGTACTGTTACATACACGTACATATACCTTACAATTAACAGTTGCTTCTATTACTTACGAACATTTATTTAATGTAACATCTATTTTTTTCTCGCATACACATGCTACACTACACTAATCATAGTATATCTGATATGAGTGATTATAATTAACTCTATGACCGATTAAAAATAATTATACATCACAGCTGTCGCGAAAGCATTATTAATTAATATGATTACTTATTTGAAATAGGTGATCTAGAAATTAATTATATTAAGTACTGGTTACATTTGTCATTTGGTTGAATCCAGTATGAATGTAGTTTAATATCATAATAACGAAACCAATTTACAAAAATTTGCAGTTATTAAAACTGTGTCCTATCTGTAAACTCCTATGAATCCTGGTAAAATATGTGTTACATTAATTAAACCCTCGAAATACACAACATTAACTTACCACATTTTTCTCCGTAAAGCAGAAACACTCACATAAAGTAAATTCACTTTCCTCAATATGCATAGTTAAGTGCGGGAGAGCCATGCTTCGGCACGAATGGGCCGGCTCGACCGGAGTGATACCACGGCCTCACAGAAAACTGACGTGAAGCAACGCTTGCGTTGTGTTATCATGAGTGAGGTTACAGGTTGCCCAATTACCCCTCCCCCCTCCCCTACCTTCCCCAATCTCTCCAATCCACGAATCTCCAACAATCCTCAAACTCCTAATCCCCAAAAGACCGGTAACGCACTTGTATCGCCTCTGGCGTTCCAGGTGTCCATAGGCGACGCCAATTGCTTACCATCAGGTGATCCGTCTGCTCGTTTACCAGCTTATCCCATAAAAAAATAACAGGTGTATGTACTTTATTATGAGCATACCTAATACCAAGCAGGTTAATATTCTAGGCTGAATAGTTTGTGGTCATAAAACATTAGTCACAAATTCTAAAATAAATAATGTTTATACCTTCGCGTGAAGTCATCACATTACTCAGCAGACCAACTATTTAAGCGCCTTTTCAGTAAAACTTTACTGAAACTGTGAGACTGAAATTTCAACAAGTGCGACTACCGAGTGAGGGGTCACGGCTTTGATTCCTTTTGACCCTTTCATCATCAACAGCCTATAAATGCCCACTGCTGAGCAAAGCCTCTTCTCACACGGAGAAGGTTAGAGCATTAATCACCACGCTGGCTCAATGCGGGTTGGCGATTTCAAACTTATAATTAGAAATTATAAGTCCAGGTTTCCTCACGATGTTTTTCCTTCACCGTTTGTCAGTGGTGTCTAAATAATCTTAGAAAGTACATATAACTCGGAAAAAGTCACATTGGTACTTGCCGATGGTAGGTTTCGAACCCGCACCCTCATGCATGAGAAGTGGGCGTCTTAAACCTCCGGGCCACCACGACATTTTGACCCTTTACCTGATGGTAAAGGGTTTATAAAGGTTTAAAATTTGTCGCAAATCTATCAGTCTTCATGGCACGGTAGATTATGGCAATGACCTTCTACCTAACTCATTCCTATATCTAGAGGTACCATCAAGAAAAGTATTATTGCAGTTTTAGAACGACACGTAGTCGGATAAAGTACCTACGTCATACCCAGTTAGTATAATCGTGACGCCCACTTTGAGCTAAGTCTGTGATGTAGACTTCAAAGTGGGCGTCCCCCACCCACATGTAACAATAGCTGTTGGCATTTACTGACAATATCACATCATATTTTCTAAAAACAAGTAACAGAAGAAAAGATTGTTATGAGGGTCTGATCTGAAAATAGGTAGTCTACGTAAACCATATCTAAAAATAGATGGAATGTGAACAAATAAGTCAGTTGTTAAATAATCAAAAATAACTCGCAGTTGTTGGTAAAATGGTTCACCCATTATGGTCGTGGACCACCCAACTTAGTGTAGGTTTTGGAACATGAGATCAAATGCACACAATTTGTAAACTGAGTTGTGATCAGTTGCGACTAAAAGGAATGTTAGTTCAGTACCATACTTGTGTATATTTGTAACACCTTCCATATCGTCAAACCATCATTTTAGAAAGAAACTGAGGAAAAGTACACCGGCCTCAGCCCTCGGAAATCTGGCCAACACATGGTTTTTAATTATAACTAAAATCTAAAGGTTATTATAGACTTACGACATTTGATGCAGACATCATCTTTAACAATTAGTCTAAGGTTACAGGAGGTTCAATTACCCCCCCCCCCCGCCCTTCCTTCCCCAATCTCTCCAATCCATGAATCTTCAACAATCCTCAACCTCCTAATCCCCAAAAAGCCGGTAACGCACTTGTATCTTTCTTGCCTCTGGCGTTCCAGGTGTTCATGGGCGACGCCGATTGCTTACCATCAGATGATTTAACTAAAATCTAAACGTTATTATAGACTTTAGGACATTTGATGCAGACATCATCGTTAACAATTAATTTGTCTAATTGAGGAAGTATTTACCGTACTTTTCATACGAAATGATTTAAAATATGTACCTGTGCTAATATTTCAATTAGCCCTTGAAACTTCAACGTTAAACTTAAAGTCTTCTATTATTATAAGACCTGCCTATTGTATCGTATTAAAGTCCTACAAAATATTAAAATTAACTTAGAGGTAGGGAAACCATCGATATGCCCTCCCAAAGTCTCAACATAACAATAACATCAAGCATATAGCCTCCTAACTACTACTCAATAAGTGGGAAGGACAAGATGTCTTCCATATTAAGCATCGAATCAATATCAATACAAACCAATATGATTGATTGATATGTGCCCAATACGGTTCGATGCACGTGCAAGTCAAACTGCAGTAAGTACTAGGATACCTAGTACCAGGCTATCAGGAATATGAGGAAGTGCAATCTAATCATATGCCAACAACAACTTGATATGATATGATAATCGACAGGTTGATGTCATCGGTCAAACGTAGGTAATCATTTTTATTGATTTCAAAACTTAATATAGCCGATGACATTGATTTTTTTAATGCATTACGTCTTTTTTTTATTAAACAATGACATTTTATTGCGAATTCATGGTTGTTTGTAAGTTTACTTTATACATATTATTGTACACATTATCAAAAAGGAGGCCAAGTTCAGGTCCTTATCTCTTTTTATACATCGTTATTAAATTCCTTCCTTATTCCGACATGCCCTTTGAGTGGATTATAGTATAAATCTGATTTTACACGCTATCTCAACTTGGAATATAAAATCCTAACTAAAAAAACTACTGCTGTGGTGATATTTAACTATTAACACAAGTTACGGTATTACATTTTACAATAACCGTTAAATATGCT